ATGATTGATTGAGGTGAATCTGAGCCCACATTTTTGCCTAAGGCACTGGAGACTGAACTTCATAAATAATGCCAGGAGCTGCGCTATTGCCCAGGATTGCATGTGATGTCTTAAAAACAACTCTGAGCTGACTGAAATATTCCTGCTACGCTGCAGGAAGCCACAGAGTTTGAGGGTGCAAGGGAGGAACAGGGGGTCACATCTATGTACAGGAGAGGGGCAGCTCAGGTCTTGTGATGGGGGTTCCCATGGCTGGGGTGAGGAGACTCAGGCAGACTGTCTACCTCCCAATTTAATCCCAGGTGCCCCTTTATCCTTCTTTGATCTAAATTCTTCTTTAACCCAAGTCCTAACACCCCACATCCCAAGTGAAGAAGACCAGGGAGATTGGTGTTAGTGCAGTGATACTCTGTGAGGCACCACAGTGTTTCTGTGGGGTTAATTGACCTTTTTCTGTAGAGTTTTGCTGTGTTGAGAGGAGGCTGATGAATGCATGTGTGTTGCTTGAGTGTGTGTACCTCCCTCAAAATCTCAGACCAGCTCCTGTCCAATGAAGCTGCTTACCCTGAGCTGGAGAAATTCAGCAACTGCTCAGGACTGAGAGTCCTCAGCAGTTCTTAATGAGCAAGGATACTTGGAGTAGAGTTATCATCAGTGAGGAGTGTGACGTGTGTGTATTTAATGCAATGACAAGTTCAGCTCTGGGTTAATTATTGCCTCCACCATCTGAACTTCATTTTTCTAGGTGGCTCAGATGGTCATGGCATCAGTTTTAGGAGAAAGATGGTTTTCTCAGGGCTAACATTATTTGAAAATGTAAAGTGCTGCTTGGCACAGGGAAGAAGCCTGGTTGGGCTATTGCTCAGTCTTGTTTCTTCTGTTCTCATGTCCCTTCTCTTTGCCACTTTCTGAGAAAGCTGGTTGCATTTTGAGTGCATTCTTGCTATGATCTGACAGAGAGGGCTGTGTTTTTCCCTGGCTGGAGGTAGCTCAGTTGCTTCCCCTACCATTCCATACAGCTCTGAACTTGACCTGCTACAGACACACTGAAATTTTTGCCCAGCTGCTCAACTAAGCAGGTTTCAACATCACACCAACTTTCTAACCATGTGCTTGATCCCTGCTCATCCATCTCCTTATGGAAAGGACAGTGTACATTCCTAAGTTCTCAACAGCTCATTAAATATTTGCCCTAAAATAAGTGCAGGAATTCCTCTTGCAGCATATTCTGCCTTCTCTGTTGCCTTGTTAGGCAACAAATAGATGTGTGCTCAGGGCAGCTCTGTCTCAGAGGGCATTTACTGCCCTAATTTTGAAGAGAAGGCATTTCTCTGAGAGCCATAGGCCTGGTTCCCATCCAGAAGGTAGGCATTCCCACTCATGTTCAGGGAATACTAAATCCTCCTTGACCAACAGGACTTTGCATGCACTTTGTACACGTGTGAATATCCATCTAAAATGCAAAACAGTAGGAATTATTTCTAAGCTTTGTCTACATTTGAGGAAACCAGCCTTTCAGAAAAGTTGTGCAGTGCAATATGTGCATTTTTTCCCTGTCTTGCCAGGTCAGTGAGGATTCTCCACAAAGGGCAGACTTTGGCCACCTGACCATGAGCATCTCATACCCCTCAAAATACTGGTGAATATCCTGAAGGTCTGCACAGGAAATCCCCATCACAGAATCACAGAATCATGGGGGTTGGAAGGAACCTCTGAAGATGATCAAATCTAGCCCTCCTGCTGCAGCAGGATTACCTAGGGCAGATCACACAGGAATGTGTCCAGAGGGGTCTTGAAAGTGTGCTCCAAATGATGCATAAAAATATCTTTTCTCCAGATAAAATACATCTGGAGTGGTAGCCACTGCTCAAATAGCCAAATACCCCTCAGCATGGAGCAAAGAATTGATTGCTACAGGTCCCTCAGAGAAGAAGCTGCCAAAACTCAGCTGCTGCCCTTGTGCATGATCCACCTCATGTCTGTAAGCTCAGATTCACGTCAATCAGTCATGAAACCTGGTTGCCAATACCAACAGAGAGCTGATGGATTTGAGCACCCAGATCTGGGGATTCTGCTGCCACAGCCTGAGTTCAACACAACTTCCTCTCCGTGGCAGCAGGAGCTCTGCACACTCAAGCTGGGAATCCCTGCCTGAGAGTCTCTGTTATGCAGGAATTGTGCACTTTTTGTGAGCCTTTCCTGGTGCCATAAAGGGTTGTGGTCCCTTCTGAGTTGCTCCAGCCTCGTGCCTCTGCCACAGCTTCAATGCAACCAGCCACAAAGGATTCCCCAGTGTTCAAGCCCCAGAGCAAAACCGTGCTTGGGGAGCATGTGGTTGAGATGCACCAAAACTGCTCACTTAAACCTTGTCTCTCACCTGTGAGCTTCTGAATTAGGGCCACACTCTGATAGAATGAAACCAGTTCTTGTTCAGCAGCCCCAGGAGAGCTCATTACAATCACACCAGCAAATCCCCACTGGCTACAGACACTCCAAGCAGGCAGTCAGGCTTTGGGCAAAAGAAATTAGGTTTGTCAATGTCTCACAACCTTATGCCTACAAGAGAGAAACTTGAGGGGACTGTTTACAAGGGCGTGTAGTGATAGGGTGAGGGGTAATGGCTTTCAACTGGAAGTTGAAAGTTAAGTTAGATAGTAGGAAGAAATTCTTCACTGTGACAGTGGTGAGACCCTGGCCCAGGTTGCCCAGAGAAGCTGTGGATGCCCCATCCCTGTCAGTGTTGAAGGGCAGGTTGGATGGGGCTTGGAGCAGCCTGGGCTGGTGGGAGGTGTCCCTGCCCATGCAGGGGGTTTGGAACTGGGTGATCTTTAAGATCTCTTCCAACCCAAACCATGCTGTCATTCTATGAAACAAAGAGCATGGACATGCCATGGGGAGGGTGCTGCTGCATCCCCAGCCCTTGTCAGCTCAGCTCTGTGTCACCTTCCCTCCCTGGGAGTTAACTGCCTGCTCTGCCTCCACCTTCCCCATCACCACAGGCAAGTCCCTGTTTGTGCCACCTGCCTCCCAGGAGGGAGCTGATGTGCATATAAATTGCTTAGCAGGAGCCCATGGAGGTCTCCAGTGTGACATTCTGGTGGGGGCTAGGAAGGGGTTGAATTAAGTTTGAGTGGTGGGTGGGGACCAGGTCCTGTCCAAAACATGTGACATTGAGAAAAACCCTTTCCACACTTTTCCTTTTAACCAGAGTATTCTGGTGGGGGCTAGGAAGGGGTTGAATTAGTTTTGAGTAGTGGGTGAGGACCAGGTCCTCTCCAAAACATGTGACATTGAGAAAACCCTTTCCACATTTTTCCTTTTAACTGGAGGGTTTCATAGCAACTGTTTTGAGCCAGAAAAGGGGCTGGGGGATGGGTGGGAAGTAAGAGCTTGTCACTGGTGCAAATCAGTTGTTACTCAAGTTAATCAATTATTGCTCAAGTTAAATATATTGCCTGTGCAGAGCACGAGGGAGGAGCCACCAACCAGAGAGTGCTACCAGCCAGATTCTTGTGCCTTTGCCCCCAAAAGTGCAGGGTATTCCCCAGGCAGAGTCACTGAGGGCAACAAAGCCATTGCTGAATCAACACCTCAAGGATGCTTAGGCTGTGGATGTGTGTGATGATACCACCAGTGATCTCCTGTAAGGCTGTGGCTGGACCTGGACATATGAGCTGAGGCAATGGCCAGGGCTGGCACACTTCTTTGCCCAACTGATTTCTACCTTCAAGTGCTTTGCAGTGTGTTTGGCCCCTGAGTCTCAGAGAGAAATTTCCCTTTTGTTTTTTTTTTTCTTTTGCAAGGTGACTGTTCCCATTACCTGTGCTGCAGTGAAATCTTCACACAGCAAGTTATTGTGTTTAATTATTCATTTCCTGAAGGAAAAAAAAAATAATCCTCCTTCCCTTTTCAAATTTCTCCCCTTCCAATACAATCAAAATCTGTCCGTGCCCATTAGAGTTTACCCTGCTGCTTCTTACTATTCTTTTGTTTAAATATATATATATATACATGCCAGACCTTCTTTTCCTAACTGAATATTCACAATTCTTTGTAGTCTTGGCTTTTTTCAAACCTTTGTCTCAAACACCTTCAGTTTTTGCAATAACTGCCAGGCTGTGGGGTGATCATAGTTGAACTGGTTTCAGGGGCTGATTAATACAGGTATTTTTTCAGGGTTTGTTTTGGTTTTGTGGGGGTTTTTTGGTTGGTTGGTTGGCTGTTTTTTTTTCTCCTAGGAAATCAGTTTGTTCAACCTTCATTTCTTTGGGTTCAGGGAGCCAGGCAGCCCCACTGAGAATGATGAGGTAGACCATGATGCCTAAGTCACTCAGAGTGTCATTCCTCAAGACAATGACTTTAGTGCCAAAATGGCATAAGAAATTCCCACCCATTCTTGTTTGCTCTGCAGTGCAGATCCCTTCCATCCTGCTGGCCTTGGTGATGCTGTGAATGTAGGTTTTTTGACCACACCATAAACTGAGTTGGTCTCAGTTCAAAGTAGCACCTTTTTGGAGGGTTCTTATCAACCACTGCAATGGTTTCCTTCATAGCTAAGCCCCACAAAGCCTCCCTGGCAGAGCAGGGGCTGGTGACTGCACAGCAGAGCAGGACCTTCTGGCACCTCTGCCACTAACCTGGCTTCCCACAGATGTACATCCAAAACCTACAGAGTGCTGGTAGGGATCGTGGTCCAGCATATCAGCTTGTCACTGCTCAGCAGGGTTTCCAAGCTTGAGTGCATCTCCAGGCTCACACAAACAGCATCCAGACCTGAGCTGGCTCAAGGATGCACACTGCACTCCATGAGGGGTTAACACATGCCCAGAATGTCCACCCATAGCAGGCTTGGTAGGGCTTTTTACCATGGAGCTTGTTCCATAAAGTTGCAACCCCAAAGCAACCCCAAAGTTCCACAAGGAGCAAGGTTTCTGGATAATTCCATGTGTTTGCTATGGAAACATGCTGCAGTTCGTCACTGTTTGTTTCTTCTCTTCCAGGTAGGCTGCAAAGTCATGATGGTTTTCTTCCAGTACTGCGTCATGGCCAACTTCTTCTGGCTCCTGGTGGAGGGGTTGTATCTTCACACCCTGTTGGTCATCTCCTTCTTTTCAGAGAGGAAGTACTTTTGGTGGTACATCTTGATTGGCTGGGGTATGCATCTTCTCAAAATTGAATGCAAAGAGGTGATCCTGGCAGGCATGTCCCCCCCCTCAGAGGTGTCCAGGGCCAGGTTGGATGGGGCTTGGAGCAACCTGGGCTGGTGGGAGGTGTCCCTGCCCATGCAGGGGGGTTGGAACTGGATGATCTTTAAGGTCCTTTCCAACCCAAACCATTCCATGATTCCATAGTTTTTAACAGCAGTTTAATACACAAATCTTGGGGCTCAGACAGGGCACTGCTGTGGTAAATGTGTTACCTTGCTGCCAAGAATTGGTAGTACAGCCAGGAGCGAGATCAAGTGATGGCCAGAGGGGTTTAAGAGCATTAACCTAAATCTTCAAAGGTATTCAAGTCCTTAGTTTGTGCTAGGTTAACTGATAGCTGAGCACTTCAGGCTCCTTAAGGATTGTCGACCTGAAACTCTTCATCACCTGTACAGTCATTTAGTCCTTTGACCCTGAGTGAGATCCTGAAGTTGACCTTGAAGTGTAAGGATGGATCCCAGCAAAGCAGGGCTCCTGGCCTGAGCCAGACCCTGCAGTCTGGCACTCTCTTCTTGTCTAACTGAATTCAGGCCAGTTGGCCAAACTGAGATCTCATCTCCTGTGGGCTAATGCTGATAACCTTCTGCTTACTGCATTCCTGACTTCTCCAGCTTTCATGTGAATCTAGTCTCAACCACATAAAACAAAATAAAATAAAACAAACAATAAAATAAAAACAACAAAATAAAAGACAACAAAAGAATGCCAAGGAAGACAGAATTAAACTCTTCACAGATAACTTGGAGCTGAATTCCTAACTTCTGCAAATTAACCCTGCCAGATCAACTGTTCTTCTTTCTTCCAAAGAGGAAACAGAAATATCTTTTCCCCTTTAAACCATTTAGTTGAAGATTTCTCTTTAAGTAAGGAAAGTATCTTCCTAGTGCATGGTCTCAATAGCTGGAACCGAGAAATAATTAGAGCAGGGAAGAATCTTGAAGGAAAAAATATTCAGGGGGATGTCTGGACTCAGGATTTGATCAGTTAGCCAGGGAGTAACTTCCACTGAAAGTGAAAGGAGTTCTGCCTGGGTTCACACTGCAGAGGAGGGACAATACCCTGTGCTATGAGCAGAAGAAGAGATGATGTTAACAGGCCTTGTTCCAGGTACCACTAATCAGGTCAGGCCGTCTTTAAACCTTTCCTTGTGCATAGACACCATTTCTTCCAGCACAGCAGAGATGGCAGATTTTAAAGAAAAATGTCTGCAGCTGATGATCTTAAGGAAAGGAATTCCCTTGCACATGTAATGTATTCTGAGGTTGCTTGGATGAGGAAGGGCAATTCAAGACAAACACAGATGCTTGAAGGATCTGTTGGCCTTTCAGTCATCTCTCATTTGCAAGAGCATCAGTGGTGGATCAGAAATGGATCATGCAGGAATTAATAATTCAGACATACTCATTGCAGCTCATGCTGTTTATATTACCATTGCACTCAGAAGTCAGTGGTAATAAACAGGACACACCACTGTGACTAACACAGAACACAGCACTGTGTCCTTCCTGGAGAGTTTCCAATCTCAATCTAATAAAGCACAAGAGACAGAGGGAAGTGGCACCACAAGGATGGAACAAGACCACCCTAGTCAGGCAGAAGATCTTGGAGCGAAGAGCAGAGGCAGGTTCATCTGGCCACCTACATACACATACATGTGAACTGGTCATTCCAGTCTCCCTTTATAGTCAGTGGGTATCCAGACAGCACAGCCAGGAGAGTCCAAAGGCTTGTTTCTTGTCCTAAGACATCAGAGCACCTTCCAGTGCCTGAAGGGGACCTACAGGAAAGCTGAGGATGGACTTTTTACAAGGGCATGGAGTGACAGGACAAGAGGAACAGTTTTAAGCTGGAAGAGAGTAGATACAGGTTAGACTTTAGGAAGAAATTCTTCACTGTGACAGTGGTGAGACACTGGAACAGATTGTCCATGGAGGTTGTGGAGGCTTCATCCCTGGAAGTGTTCCAGGCCATCTTGGAGCAACCTGGGCTGGTGGGAGGTGTGCCTGCCCATGAAGGGGATTGGAACTGGATGATCTTTAAGGTCCCTTCCAATCCAAACCAGTCTATGATTCTATGATAGAAAAACCATCTAACGTAGCTCAGACTTCAGTGCTAGCAGTGTCTGTTTCTCCCTGATGATGCTAAAGGGAGCCTGTGATGATTGGTTTAGCTACAGGTGTCCACACTGTAGATGTTCAGAGTCATTCCTATTCCTTGCATGTCACCATCAGAAGGTTTTTTTGCAAGCACTGCAACAGGAAGATAAACGTGCCAGGGAGCAGTTACAGGGATTTCATCTTGCATGGCAAGTGGGAGACAAAGGCAACGTGTTGCTTGTTTGCATGTGAGGGTTGAAAACATGAAGCTTTTGTGCACTCTTGAGGGAAGGCATCACTTCAGTTGCTCAGGAGAGATGGAGAGTGGGGTAGAACAGGCCTGAAAACAGTGATAATGATTTCTGACAGTAACACCATCTCTTCTCTTGTCAGGTGCCCCCTCCGTGTTCATCACTGCTTGGACTATTGTCAGGATTTACTTTTTTGATGTTGGGTAAGCCTGAGGACTTGGTTCTCTTTGCTTCATGATTCTTCCTTCCTTTATCTCCAAGGGAGGCCAAGGAAAGCCCTGCAGGTTTCATGACCCAGCCATCCTGCCCTAACCCCAGGGACAGTCAGAGCAGAGGCTTTCTCCTGCCACCACAAACTGAGAAATGCTGCAAGGTCTCACCAAAGACACCTGGTTTATATCAGCTTAGGCTAGTCACTCCCTCTCTTTGTTTCCCAATCCCTTTTTAAGGATGTTAATAGGGAATTTGGGAACAGACCAGTACCTGAAGGCACTACAGGAAAGCTGGAGAGGGACGTTTGAAAAGGACATGGAGTGATAAAATGAGAAGAATGGGTTTAAGCTGAAAGAGAGGAGGTTTAGATTAGATATTAAGATTAAATTCTTTAGCATGAGGGTGGTGAGACACTGGAACAAGTTGCTCAGAGAAGTTTTGGCTGCCTCATCCCTGGAACTGTTCAAGGCCAGGTTGGTCTTTAAGGTCCCTTCCAACCCAAGCAATATTATGGTTCTATGATCAAATTTGGCAGCTGCCCCATGCAGAGCAGAGCTTTGCATCCTGCAGAATTGACCCTAAATACTCTGGTGCAGCAGATATTTAAACACATCCATTAGCTCTCCCACAGAAAAAGTCTAAAAACTCTTTAGTTTGTTTTGTTGTGGTTTTTTTTTTCCCCAGGCAGGTCTTAGGATCTATTATTTTTTCTCTTTAACCTGGCAGCAGCCTTTGATATTTGATATAAGAAGGAGACAGAATACAGCCAAGAGAACAAGGCAGAAATCAGATAATATATGCCAGTAAATAGGATCTGATCCTGCAATTCTCCTTCATATTTCTACTCAATCAGTCACACTATAGTAATTAGAATAGCTTTTATGAGAAAACACTCGAGAGAATTACAAAATCAGGTGCTTATTATGAACTCACTGTGCATCTACAGCACATGGTTAACTCCATTTTCTCCCTCCAAATGTGTCCTGATTTGTCCTTAAGTCAGGAAGAGAAGCAGCTCAGATTTCTCATTGCATTTTTTATTTATAGTCATGCTAACACATTTCCTGAGGGCTACTGATTTCTTTTATGGCTTCACTCTATCTGCATAAAACTGGCCTTATTTACTCTGTTAATAAATAGCCTCTGCAATGAGATAAAGACCAAAGGATTTAACCAGTCTGGATGCTAATTCTTCTTACTATATATTCCCACTAAGCTCCAGCAATTCTCAATAAAGATGCAGCCTTCTTTGCATTTTCTGGAGGCTTTAAAGCTCTACATTTTTGTGCCAAGCACAAGAGATTGTGAATTTACAGAATATGCTAATACCTAACACAGATATTATATTTTTTTGCATACTAAAATTACCTACAGAGAAAAAAAATACAGGAAATTAATCCAGATTAAATAAAACCTGACTGTGTAAGATGGGTTAAACAACATTAAGCTTCTGTTCAAACATTCTGCCTCCAAATTACCATGACCCTCGTTCAGGCTGCCTGAATTTATTTTAAAAATGAAGTGCATTAGACATAATTAGGGCCATTTAAATTCTAAATGAAAGGGCATCATGCACCTGCCTAAGTATAAACATCTGGATGTGAGCAATTTGCTTGAGTCTCCTTTTATAGCTCGTGCAGGTTTAGTCAGTGTAGTCCATGGAGTGCTCTTCTTCTCATCCTAAAGTTGATGCCTAAAATAAGTCTCAGGAACTGAGACTCTTCACCTACTCATGTAGTCAGCATTTGGAATTAGATGTGTTGAATCCAGGTGAAACTGTCTGTGATGGGTTCCACTGATCTACTTCCATCATGAGTGCAGACTGATTTTCATGAATACTCTCCTACAAATGCACCTTTGATCACCCGATTCTGGTGAGGTGTGCAGATAAAGTGTCCCAAGCAGTATTAGTCATTTCTACATCATTCCTATTGTCTCATTTTCTTGTTGGCTTTGATGTTGCAGATGATCTAGATGAGTGGTGTGGTTTGCAGACAGTTCTGACTTCAGGATGAAGCAAATCACACTCTGGATCCTATTGACTGGTCTGACTAGACCCATAGTTCAGGTGCAGCTAGTGAGATTTAGTTGGACTCATCCCATTATAGGCCTGCTGACATCAGTTAGATATTAGGAAGAAATTCTTCACTGTAAGGGTGGTGAGGAACTGGGATGGGTTGCCCAGGGAGGTTGTTGATGTCCCATCCCTGGAGGTTTATAAGGCCAGGTTGGATGAGGTTTTGTGCAACCTGGTCTAGGCATGGGGGCTGGAACTCAATGATCTTTAAGGTCCCTTCCAACTTTAATGATTCTATGTTTTAAGTCTGGTCTTTGTTTCTTTTTAGGTGCTGGGAGGAAGTAGTGGAATCCCCATTCTGGTGGATCATTAAAACTCCTATTTTGGTGTCCATTTTGGTAAAGTATCAGCACATTTTGCTGGCTGCAAAGCCATCTTTAATACTAAGTGTGGGGGACGAAGGGGTGTTGAGAAGTCTTCTGTAAATGTCCATGGAACATGCATTGCCAGATGCAATCCCACTCTATATTGAATGTCTTAGGATGAGGAAGTTCACCTCTGGGATAAACATCTGTAAACATTTGCCATAGAAAGAGTTTAAGTGACTAGGCAACTCAGGTGGAGCTCATTTGGTTCAACTGTGACCACTCTGACCTCACCTGGTCACCACTCTAGTGGAGGAGCCATGGATTTGTGTAGCCAGGGAAGACTGAGGAATGTGGTCAGAGATCCAGGAAAGGCTCATCTTGTCTAATGAACTGGTGAATGTCTGAATTAGATGAGATTAATTGTGCCATAAATGTTTTTTTTTTTTCTCTGAGCTGACCATATGCAGAGCACAGGGTGACTTGTTCAGCTGTAGATATCAACACTAAAGTAAAATGGGATGAGTGCTGCCATAAATCTCTACCTACATGCAAAGAGCTTGGATTTATTTGCCCAGATCTTTGCCTCTGGTTCTAGCAACCAGCAGAAAGTTGAATTCCAGCTGAGTGTTTTTAAAGTAAGCTCTTGAGAAGCTTGGCTAATTTCCAGATAAATCAACAGAAGTGCTTGACTACTTACTTCTCTGGCTGTGATCAATTCTGAGCACAGAAACACGTCACATCTGGGGAACTCATGAGTCCTTCCATCCCTCTTGAATACCACATGTTTCCTCTGTCAGGTATCAAGCCAAATTTGAAATCAAATTAGCCTGTTAAACTTAGCTATGACTTTTCTCAAGTAAAGGCAAGTATGTGGGAAAAGAAGAAAAAGAATGCAACAGAAATCAACCCAAATATATCTCTTTTAATCAGAAATCTTTTCTTAGACATAATTCTTCTCATTCCACGTACATTATGACCTTTACAAGAAGCCTTCTTTGCTCTGTAGCATTTGTCATACAGGGATTTCAAACTGAAACAGTTTGAATAATCACATCTTACCTCACTGAAAAGAAATGCAATCCTTAGAAGAAACATCTCAAAATATTTATATCATCATATAAAGATATATAGTATTTTCCTTTCCCAAGATAACCTTTTGGTAATGAAATACACCCTGTTCTCCTCAGATCAAAGAGTCTGTGTTTTCTGTTGGCCACTACATTTTTTCCTCATTGCTGAACAAAATTCACCCAGCAATTTCTGATTTTCCTTCTGCAGATATCATATAAATCTGGCACAAGGGAAGGGCATGATAACAGCTGTCTGATGAACAGCAGGTTTCTTCAGGGAGGAAGGCAACATTTTCTCTGTATCCATGGGAATAAAGCATAGATCTCAATGGGAGGAACAAATACGTGTGTAACATATAGAAGATATTAAGCACTGGGAACTGATTAAGTGCTTTTGATTATACTTCAGGTTGAAAAATATATAACTTCTCCAGTATCCTGATAGCCAGATCTTCTGAGACTCCTAAGACAGTTTTCAGCCTATAAGTCACACTCCACCTGGCTCATCACTGCCCTGTGTCCGTGTTTGCTCTTGAGCACCACAAGCCAACACAGTCAGTATTTAACTGCTCCAATCTTACCTTCAGTGCTGCAGCTTGGGTGTTATCATTAGAGTAATTGATCTGGATAATACTGCTTTGAACTGATAAAATATAACTTGCCACCAAGCCAGATGCATACCAATTTTATAAGCAAATAAATACAAACAGGAACTATGATAGATGGCATGGGATAGATTAAAACTAATTAAGCAATACATCATAACCAAGAAATACAATTAATTTCCAAGCACTTGTAGCCTTTGTAAAAAGTGTCTACATGAGTGTCCTGGTTTGAGCCAGGATGAAGCCAATTTTCTTTTTTGCTTATTTTTTTTTCCTTCAGTCATCTTCAGATGTGCTTCAGTCTATTTTATTCACCTGCTGCTGAGATAAATGTAGGAATTGCTGGAGGAAATTTTACAATCTGTTTTTGCAGGAAATCAGATTGGCTGGTTAACACAATCCCTTCCAGCCACTGAGTGTCTAAAAATCAAAATCATTTGTGCATTCACTAACCATCAGAGGATAAAGAAGGAGGTTGTGTGCCAATCTAAAACTAAACTCAGTCCACAGAAATCTGACATCCCTTTCCATTGCATAAGTTGCATGAATAACACCACGACTCAATGGGTAGGACCTCAAAGACAAGTATATTTGCCTTCTACTCGTGCCACCTACTACATGTTTTTAGGGAATTCTCATTCCTTTTTCTACTAAATAAGGTTCACATTGCTTGAGCATGTTGCTGGAGCACTTTGAGATTTTTTTTTGAGTGGAAAGCACCATCTAAACTCCAGATATTAGGTGGACTCCTCTGGTTTAACATCCTAGGAAAGAGCATCTTCCGCTGTGTGGGTGAGGTCTATCCCTTGCTATTCGAGCTTCTCTCCAGAGAAGACATGCCCACTGGCGTTGAGTAGAGGCCCACTTGAGTGGATACAGCTTTGTGCTTCCTTTTGGTCTCCTCGGCTCCCTGCCTCAGCCTTTGCCATGCCCAGCAGCAGGTCCCATGTCACCGTCTCCCGAGGGCTTTGACGTCCGTCGCTCCGCGCCCTCCCGAGGCTCTTTGCCCGTCGGCGCGGCCCCGCGCAGCAGGACCTCGTGCATAGCTGTGCTCTATGGGTTTGACATCATCATACTTGGGATGTATGACACAAAGTCCCAAGCAGGCTGATGTCAGGCCCAAGATGGCTGCCACCCTGTGTCGGTTTACTCTGTGCTCCCAGAGTGAGGTTCTCTGCTCGTGGCTTTTTAACAACACGGCAAAAAATATCGCAGCGCAAGGAGCTCCTCTCTAGTGATTGTCTCTGTTCACCAGAGAAAAACACTAATTTTGGGTTTCTCTGTTTCCCTTCTCCCCCACCCGACAGGTCAACTTCATCCTCTTCATTTGCATCATCCGTATCTTAGTCCAGAAGCTGCATTCCCCAGATGTTGGGCACAATGAAACCAGCCAATATTCGTAAGTCCTCCACTTTTTCAACCATATTGTGGGGTTCTTGGGAAACCCATTTGGCTGTTGGTTCATTATTGCATCTGATCAGAATCAGTTGTTTCTTGGCCAACTAAAGCTGATCAGAAATCAGGAAACTGGGAATTTGTTGAAACAACTGGGCGTGTTTTGTGTCAGCTTGAACAGGCAGGTGAGAAGGTTTTCTCCAGGGATTAATGATGAAGAAGTGAGAGTACCAGTAATGATCATGAAACAAAATAGGCTTTTTCTTTGTATATTTAATATTTTGGGGATCCTGAAGGTGGAGGGACCCTCATAACAAAGAACAGTTGTCAGGAGTACATGGGGGCTTGTTTTTCTCAACTAGTCTCATTTTCCTTTTTCAAGGAGAGATCTATAAAAACAGTACATTCGTTAGATCTATGGCAAATTTCCCTTATCCTGAAGCAGACCTCTAAACTAGCTTGAGTAAATTCAATGCATTTCTCTTCACTGTTGAGAAGTAGCATTGTCTCAGAAATTTTGCTTGATGTAATGCTTTTGTTCCAGGGGTATAAGGTCGACCTTAATTTGGCTGTTTATAATGAAGACAGGCTGAGAGAGCTGGGGCTGTTCAGTCTGGAGGGTCCAGGGAGACCTTAGAGCACCTTCCAGTGCCTGAAGGGGCTCCAGAAAAGCTGGGGAGGGACTTTTCACCAGAGAGGACAGTGATAGGACAAGGGGGAATTGTTTTAAACTGAAAGAGAGGAGATTTTGGTTAGACATCAGGAAGAAATTCTTCACCATGAGGGTAGGAAGGTGCTGGAATAGGTTGCCAAGGGAGATTGTGGAAGCCCCTTCCCTGGAGGTGTTCAAGGGCAGGTTGGATGAGGCTCGTGCAGCGTTTTCTCCAGGGATTAATGATGAAGAAGTGAGAGTACCAGTAATGATCATGAAACAAAATAGGCTTTTTCTTTGTATATTTAATATTTTGGGGATCCTGAAGGTGGAGGGACCCTCATAACAAAGAACAGTTGTCAGGAGTACATGGGGGCTTTTTTTTCTCAACTAGTCTCATTTTCCTTTTTCAAGGAGAGATCTATAAAAACAGTACATTCGTTAGATCTATGGCAAATTTCCCTTATCCTGAAGCAGACCTCTAAACTAGCTTGAGTAAATTCAATGCATTTCTCTTCACTGTTGAGAAGTAGCATTGTCTCAGAAATTTTGCTTGATGTAATGCTTTTGTTCCAGGGGTATAAGGTCGACCTTAATTTGGCTGTTTATAATGAAGACAGGCTGAGAGAGCTGGGGCTGTTCAGTCTGGAGGGTCCAGGGAGACCTTAGAGCACCTTCCAGTGCCTGAAGGGGCTCCAGAAAAGCTGGGGAGGGACTTTTCACCAGAGAGGACAGTGATAGGACAAGGGGGAATTGTTTTAAACTGAAAGAGAGGAGATTTTGGTTAGACATCAGGAAGAAATTCTTCACCATGAGGGTAGGAAGGTGCTGGAAAAGGTTGCCAAGGGAGATTGTGGAAGCCCCTTCCCTGGAGGTGTTCAAGGGCAGGTTGGATGAGGCTTGTGCAGCCTGGGCTGGTGGGAGGTATCCCTGTTCATAGCAGGGAGGTTGGAACCTGGTCATCTTTAAGGTCCCTTCCAACCTTCACCATTCTATCATTATATGATTCTATCAACAACATGCAAGTGAGATCAGTATCTGTGGCAGTGGCCAAGACTGGTCCTAGTTGCAGTATTTTAAGAGTGCAAGAACCCTGTCTGCATGGGTTTATTTTGGCTTCCATGCAAATAAAATAGAAGTTCAGACTGACTTATTTTTGACTCTTGCCACTGTCCTGGCTTAGCACTTCAACTGTCCTAGATATTTCTTAAATTATTCCTGGAAAAGAACTGAAAAGGAGAAAGTCCAGTGTCTGCATGGTCACTGCTGATAAATCTTCTTTGTCTTTGGAGGGAGCAGTGAAGAAGTTGAACTCAGATTATTCTGCAAACAGGAAGACAATATAAATATGGTCCTTAACTACTGACCAGCCATGTCACTGTGTCTTTCTCTCTAGTGATGGTAAATTATGCATTTCATCTGCCCTGAGGGATTTTTATGAAAGGAAATTCCAGTATTTGACCTTAACTTCTCCCTGCAGCAGCCAAAGCCAATTACCTCTTTTTCTGTCTTCACAACACACAAACATTACCAGACTCTGCTTTCTGTCACCTCCCTTTGTGTGTTTCCAACTGGGCATTGTATCTTTTGTAGCCCCAGGGTTGCAACAGCTTTGGCCAGGTGCATAGATTAAATCAGCATATTAAAATATGTCCTAGTGCTAAGCAGCAGCCTGGAGCAGTTGGCTCATACTCATCTCAGCAGAAGTGCTGCCAACAGGCACCAGGAGGGTTATGCCCAGATCACCTCACAGGTCACAGAGCTTTGGGTTCAGGGCTTCCTACTTCCCACAACCAAGTGGGAGCTGCCAGGAAAGCTCTTTTTGCCTTTTAAACTGACAGAGCACAGGAAATAACATGGACTTTTATCACAGAATCATTCTGGTTGGAAAAGACCTCTAAGATCATCAAGTCCAACCATAACCTAGCTCTACCAGCTGTTAACCCAGCTCTACCAGCCATTAACCTAACTCTACCAAGTCCTCACAGTAGTCTGCCAAACAGGAGGGACTGCTGGTATACAAATGATCTTCACATCTACAATTCCTCACCTTCTTTCTCCAGCTGGAAAAACATCTCATTTCCATTAGGACATGAACCAGTTGCTCACCTGCATGTGTCCAAGCCATATTAGATGCTTTAGGATATTTGAGATACTTGCCTTGACCTGCTACATAGGACCCAGGACCTATGGGAGACTTGTGCCCTCATACAGTGGCAGCTGGCCACCAGGCAGGTTCTCTGGGGTATCTGGAAGTCTCTGTATTAACTGCAGTGGGACCTGAGACACCACACCTCCCTATGGAAATAAATACTAAGTGTCCCAACCTGAAGGCTGGATCCCATCAAGGGGGAGTTGTCAGGGTAGTCCTAAGTTTTTAGTGTTTAGACAGCTATCTGTAGAGACATTTGGCATCCAGACCCTTTTTAAAATGCCATTTGGCATGAGATCTGCAACTGTGGGTACCTGGATCCTTTTCCATGTCATTTATTACCTGAAATGCTGCTGCAAACTTCCAAGAGGTTTTGCCTGCAGGACCCAAGACCAAAAGAACTACTGCTAATGACCCATGTGGGTTCCTCCTGCCAAATCTGAGATAAATATGTTTTAAACTAGCAACATCAGGGATCTCTCATTTTCATTTCACCCTCCTTCCCTCATTTATTTTATTTTATATATTTTATATACAAAAATAACATGTTGACAGGGTTGTTCAATCCCAGCTGGTTTTGGTTTAGCTGCAGGCTGGAAGTTCAGGTGCTGCTGACTCACTCATTAGTGCTACAGACACTGAACTGGGCTTTCATGTACTGGAAACTGTGAAAACAAGTCTCCCAAAGCAGTTTTCTAGAAATGACAGAGACACGTGCAAGAATGGGACAGCAATCTTCTGGGTAAATAGGAGCTGGTTTCTGCAGCAGAGCTCCTGAGCAAAAGCCATCTCCTTCTATTCTGCACATAGTCAGAGATCAATATTATCCTCAAAGTTTCCTGGGTAACTTTTCCATTTTGTATTCAAGGAGCATGACTAAAATGTTTGTTCACTGTTGTCATTCCCAAGGAGAGGAGCAGGCTCAGTGCAAGCTAGTGGAGATGTGCTCTCCCTAAATTACCTGTCACCATGTGTATCTGTCAAAAAGAGTAGACCCAAGCAGTGCACTCTGTGCTGGGACTGGAAGTCATGAGGTTTTTGAGAAGCCACAGCTTCCAGCAGGTAGATTTACCCAGCTCTTGGACAGTCTTCCAAGAATTTCTGCCTCCTGCACAACCAGGGTTTAGCTTCCTGGGAGAAATCACACCATGACTTGGGATGATGATTTTCATCAGTGCAGTGTTGAGAGGGAAGTCTTTTAAACATCACAGAGTGAGACCGTAGGACCTTGTCTTGAGGCCAAACTGAGACCTAAAATGTCACTCAATATCCTGGGGAAGCTCAGTGCTGGGAGCAGGAGACTGGTTTGGAGTGTTCTGCAAACTGGAGGAGGGGGGTCCTGAGGTTTGATCTTTAAGATGAGGCCCTGATGTTGTCTGAAATCATAAGATACATTTTTCTAAGCCACTAGAGGTTGCAAATAGTGTGTCTATGAATATGGTACATGAAGGTAGCACCACATCCATCTCCTCTAGGTTGACTGGTCCTGAAAGCTTAGGGAGAAAAGAGAGATCTCTGCAAAGCCAGTGTGGATACTCACTGACCTGTGATCTGCTTAGGAAATGAGTTGCTTTCTCCTCTGTTGGGACCTCGGGAATTAGGACTGGATGATACAGGAACAGGCTACCCAGAGAGGTGTGGAGTCTCTTTCTCTGGACGTATTCAAAACCTGTCTGGACATGATCCTGTGGTACCTGCTCCTGGTGAACTTGCTTTAGCAGGGGAGTTGGACTGAGTGATCTCCAGAGGTCCCTTCCAACCCCCATCATTCTGTGATACTGCAATGAGGAGACTTTATTGTGCCTTTCAATACTTCAAGGGGCCCTATAAGGAAGATGGGGACTAACTTTTTAGCAGAGCCTGCTGTGACAGGACAAGGGGTGATGGGTTTAACCTGAAAGAGGGGAGATTTAGACCAGATATAAGGAAGAAATTTTTGACAATGAAGCTGGTGAGACACTGGCAGAGGTTGCCCAGAGAGGTGGTAGATGCCTCATCCCTGGAAACATTCCAGGCCAGGTTGGACAAGGCTCTGAACAACTTGATCTAGTTGAAGATGTCCCACTCACTGCAGGAGAGATGGCCTATATGACCTTTAAAGTTCCCTTCCAATCCAAACCAGTCTATTATCCTATGATTCTATGGTACTGGTGAGGGTCACATTGCTCAGAGCTGCTTCTAAGAGTGAGGACCATGGGTGCCCACATAGTCACCAGTGACAGTGAGAGTCCGCTGGCAGAGCAAGACATCCAAGAGGACTCAAATGTTGGATCTACCCACTATGAGCAGGGATGTGCCTGCTAGTGAGCAATGTGGCAGGGAAGGGAAATTCCTGGGAAGTTCCTCGGCTTCCTATAGGCACTTGTTTTGCCTGGAATGAGTCACACCCAACTCCTTTCAGCTCCAGCCACAATCTTAATGTCAAATGGTCTTTGGGCCAGGCCCAGGGAAAGCTGGAAAGGTCTACTGGGAGATACAGTGATGAGCATCATCTCCATAAAGCTGGCAGAGCAGCCTTCCCAGTGGGCTTATACAGATGGCAAATAAATGAAGATGGTCTGAGGGGACTGAGTCTGGTGAGACTTTGGAGGTGAAGGCTTTGCAGATGGAATAACAAGTATTTCCAACATCCCAGCTGTAGTTTCAATTCCTCCACAAGCTTCTGGGAAAGGGGGACACAGGAGGATGTGGGTGAGCAAGGAAGCCAAAAACCCCATAAGTATCCTTAAGCCCTTCATTTAATTTCATTTCCCTCAGCTCTATTTTAATAAATATTATATTTAATAAATAATCATCTGTTCCTAATTAGACCTCTGATTACCCAGCCTGGTGCCATTAAGCACTAACACTGTTCCTTTCCCTCCTTTGGAAACATTCATTGTGCAATAGCCTGTCATTATTCAGAGCTAAACATACCATTTCTCTCCCAGAAGCTGTAATTTTCAGAAATCCCAAGCAAACAAAGACAGTGCTAGATGATGATTTAGCTTGTAGAGATGAAAAAAGATCTCTGGTGGGAGGGGAAGAAGAGAGAAAGGAGAAAGAAATACATCCATGGAAATTACTAGGAGTAAAGATGTCACATTTGGTGTTGTCACCACACGTGAAATCAACAACCATGAGCAGTCTGTGGGGAGGGAGAGAGAACCTAGGTGATCACTCTGCCTTCTCTGGAGGCACGTAGGTATTTATGAGAACTGTTCATAAGGAAAGCAAACCTCTAGAAATGGGGGAGGGAGAGAGAACCTAGGTGATCACTCTACCTTCTCTGGAGGCACATAGGTATTTATGAGAGCTGTTCATAAGGAAAGCAAACCTCCCAGCATGGTCATAGGGATATGAAAGGGGCTGATGGTTTTAAACTTAAATAAGGTAGATTTAGATTAGGCATTAGGAAGAAATGTTTTACCCTGAGGGTAGTGAAACACTGGGCCAGGTTGCCCAGTGGGGTGGTAAATGCCCCATCCCTGGAAACATGCTGGGTCAGTGTGGATACTGCAGGTGGGTTGGACTAGAGGACCTTTAAAGCCTCTTCTAACCCAAACTGTTCTGAGATTCTGTGCTTCTGTGGTCCTTGGTGAGTTTGAGCTGCCCTACAGTGACTGTGCCCAGCTGAGGAACCACCTCCACTTGTCACTGCATCCCAGCCCAGGTCATCAGAGTGGCCCAGGGGAGGTGAGGCTGTGAGGAGCTACCTCAACACCTCCTGTTTCACTGTGTCCCAGACACTTCTTCCCTCTGGATGAGGGCAGCCTGCTGGTGCTGCCTCAGTGAGGGTGCTGTTGAAAGGCTGGATGTCCCTAGGACCTGAGGCTAAGTGGCCTGTATCACAACTCCCAAAGGCAGCCAAAGGCACTTTAGATTTATGGTGCAAGGTATCATGATCCAGGTAATCAGCAGGTTAAAGTTTTGGAGATGCACAGGGCTCAGCTGTGGGATTTCTCCTCAGCTTACCCTTCAGCTCCTCTTCCTTCTCCCCTAGTGATTCCCATTTATCTTTCCGACAGGAGACTGGCCAAGTCCACCTTGCTGCTGATCCCCCTCTTTGGCATTCACTACATCATGTTTGCTTTCTTCCCTGACAATTTCAAAGCAGAAGTTAAGCTGGTCTTTGAGCTGGTGGTTGGGTCGTTCCAGGTAAGTCACTCTTTGGGCCAGGTCACCAGGTCTGTCAATGGGGAGAAGTGTTAACAAACTTGACTGGGGAATAAGCAAACGTGTGAGCTGGGTTTTTCCTGGATAGACCTGATACTGCTCTTATTCCTTTGGGGAAAAAGCTACTCACTCCAGCTTGGCCAGTTTGGAAGATAATTTTATATTTTTGCCTCCTGAAAGTCCAGAAGGAGATTTTCTCCTCTTTTCAGGCACTTGAAAAGAAAATGTACATCTGTAAGTTAGTCACCCTGGGGGTTTTTTGGTACTTAGGGGAGAAAATCAAGGACTTCAGTTCCATTTAGATGTTATTGACATGGTGTAAGATGAGATGAATCACATCTGGGAGGGGTGTCTTTCTGGCTATTAACAGGAGCTTAGACTGTCTTCAACCATGGGTCTTGCATGAACTTTCTTCTCTGTTAATAAGCTGAGTCCTGCCTGTAGGTCCTGCTCAAGCAGGCTTCCAGTTCATTGGCATAAGAGGAGATTCCCCAGGAGGATGGGTAATGGGGCTGTCCTGTGCATGAATCTTCAGGAAGTCCTGATGAAGTTTGCCCCTGAGACCACTTCAGTCAGTCCCAGGGCTGGGCTGTCAACCTTGGCCATGCTGGGGCATTAAAAGTAGCACTTACTTCTGTATTTCATCCCACAGAATCCATCCTTTCCTCAGCTCTAGCCACTTTGTGTTCTCACAGCCTGTGGGCAGGATCTGCCTGTCACCATGTCCCATACACGTGGCAGTGACATGCTTTGGTCAGTGGTGAATGAGTTCATGTCCCTCTCTGCATCCTCTTCACATCTGGCATCTCTCCATGGAGAGATAAATGGACCTACACTCACTCCCTGTCATAAGTCTTTGTCAGCTGAAGGGCTAGAGATGTTTGGTTTATTTCTTTCAGTGAAAGCTGAGGTTGCCAAAAATGAGATGACACCACAGGGGTGATGGGGAAGGAACAGTTCAGCCCCACACCATGTGTGAGATGGTTCTGATCCCAATGATGTGCTATCAAGCATGTTTAGATCTCCCCAGTTTCAGCTGACAAGACCGGACAGGAAAGTTTGGTCTAGTATCCCACCCAGTATCCCATCTAAGGCCCCAGTTTGAATGACCAGGTGCTCTAGAGCTGAGCTGATTGCTGGGGGCTTTAAACACCAGCCTGGAGCAACCTTTGAACTCACATCCTGCTGCAAGGCACCTTAACCAATCTTCCCTGCTCCTTTTAGAGGGAAAATGAAACCAAGTGGTTTCTAGGGAGCACCTTAGCAGCCCCCAGCTGTGTGCCCTTCTCCAGGGGTGCTGTGGGTTTGAGAGGTGCTAAAAGCCTGTTCTCTCTTTTCCCCTAGGGATTTGTGGTGGCTGTTCTGTACTGTTTTCTCAACGGGGAGGTAAGATCAGCTGTACTGTTTGGTTGATGTTTGCAGCTAAGGCAAACTGCATGATTGTGGGGAGTGGATTGAGAAGTGTTCCATTCCTGATACTGGGAGGAAGCATCCAACTCAAAGTGCTCACTCCAGAAAAACAACTCAATCATTTGCCTGACAGTTTCCAGCACAATTAATAAATGTGTTAGGATTTCTGTACACACTGTAGAAGTATTGCTGCTTCTGAGTTCATCCTTTACTCACGAAACAACATCAGCAGAACTCCCAAACAACCTTGCATAAACCCTGATCCAAAAGTACCACCTCCAGCAGAGAAGGATGGCTAAATCCCATCTTCTAAGCCCTGCTTGTGCTTAGTGCTTTAATGGATCAGACCCACTGCCAAGGTGGAGGCTCATTAGTGCAGTGATATTTTTGTGCCATGCTCCTTCTGTCTGTTAGGAATTCAGCAGAGACTGATTAAACCCATATCATGAAGGTTACCAAGTAGGTGTGAGCAGCTAAAAACTTGGAGATCCTGCCAGTTGGAGCACTTGGAGCTCAATAAACTAAGCACGGACAAGGAAGAAGCAGTTGTGATCTGGGTTTGTGTTTCAGCTTCCTGGGGAGAGGAAGTGTGTCCAGAATCACAATTTGCTCTCTTACAGCTCTGCTGCTGCTTTCAAGCCAGGCTGATGCCAAATGTACATCAGGCAGTGGCACACAGGGCAGGTAGCCCAGCTCCAGCAGAGACCTTTGCCACTAAGCCTGCATGGAGCAGGGCAGAAACACACACAATTATTAATAAGCATCAATATGACTTGTTAGGCACAGACCAGGCCCAGGTAAACATTTTTTTTTTTACCTTACAGGCATTGATCTTGCCTTTCTCACATCTTCAGTCCTGGGGTTTGCATCCTGGTGTTGTACTATTCCTGTGCTTGCTGGTCCCAGAGACCCAGAGGCACAGCTGGTTTAGCTGATTCATGCTGTTATCTAAAAATTTGGACTGGAAAACTGCAGGAGGGGACAGGGATGGTGGCCAGAGATTTGTTCACAACTTGGGTCTGGACCGTGTAAAGCTGATGATGTATGTAAACACCCTGAGCAGGAACAAGTAGCTTGTATCAGAAGAGCACAGCTGCAGTGGCAGCTTCACAAACAAGCTAGAGTTAAAGTGTTTGTATTTGGACAAAAATAGGAGAGTGAAAAAAAAATATATATCTGAATTATGCAAAGTGTGGAGTATGTTGCCATTGAAGTTAAGTGGTCTGGCATCTTCACTGTGTTTGATAAGCAATTCCCTGTGCTCCCCTTACTGCTGAAGCTCAGGGATTTCTGCTCTAGTAGTTTCCTGGCTGGAGCTGCTGACCTGTCTTCTGCGTGGCTAAAAGTTCTGGCCAGATTGAGTTTAGTGACCTTTATAAAATATTTGGTGGCCCCATGGGAGGTGGGTCACCCCTTGCTGCTCAGGCCCTCAAGTCAGAGCAGTGGAAGGTGCTCCTCTCTGCTGACCTGCTTGTCTTTCCACTGCCCAGGTCCAAGCTGAGCTCAAGAGAAAGTGGAGGAGGTGGCACCTGGAGCGGTTCCTGGGCTCAGACATGAAGTATCATCACCCTTCCCTGGGCAGCAACGGCACCAACTTCAGCACCCAGATCTCCATGCTGACCAAGTGCTCCCCAAAGACGCGCCGGTGCTCTGGCTTCCAGGCTGAATTCTCTCTGGTGTGATACGGGGAGGCTCCCCAAGCACTGAGCATCCAAAGAGAGGAACTAAGGCAGGAGGATCTCCAGGAAGCAGAGACATGATGCTCCCCATGAGCCAACAGAGGACACACAACTGGAAAAGCCACTGGCATCCAGAACAAGACCGGACAAGCCAAGAGGCAGAGAAATACTTTTCCTCTCCCTCTTTTCAGACCTTTCACTCTGAAGTTTCAAGCCCTCAGGGGTTGCTAAGCATGAGTAAAGGTCTCAGACACTTGAGGAGAGCCTGGGAGATCCTGATGTGCCATAAATAATGAAGTACAGGGGGTAAGGGAGGGGACAGCCTGGGTCCTTGATGGCTTTACCAGAACTGGCATCTCTGAAACAGAAAAAATGCACTTTTAAAAAAAATAATAATAAAAATGAGCCAGTAAAGGAGAGAGGGAGACAAGAAGCAGGGGAAAAAAACAAACAAACAAACAAACAAAACATATGAATGTGCCAAAAGTCCAGTTGATAAGAGGTGGTGATAAGACACCAAAGACAGAGTTGGGGACACAGGTAGAAGGGACAGGAGGAACACGAGCAGGAAGGGCAGAGGCCAGCACGGGGTCCCTGCCTCTGCATTTTACACATGTGAAGATGAAGCTGCAGCACCAGGAAAGCCCCTTGGAGGATGCACCACCTCTGTGGTGTGTTCTGCTCCTTGCCAACCATCTTCATTGGCCAAAGCTTTCCAAGCTCCTTGGGTGCCCTCTGGACAAGCAGGCTGCTGAGGAGGAACAGCGTGGATGCCCTTCCCTGCACTGTGTTCATCATGGGCTGGTTGGTTGTTTTCAATGAACAGGAAACTCAATTTGCATGTATAAAAACCAGGTACAGATGCCAAAAGCAGAGCACAGCTGTGTCTTTCATCCTTTTTTAAGTTCACCTCTAAATCTTGGTGCATTAAGACACCCAGGGTCATTAGGGATCAGGGGAAAACAATTGGTCTGTAATTCATTTGCACTTGCTTAGCACACACTGCCAGGAAAGGGAGATGTAGAACCCTGTAATCCCTAATTGGATCAGACCCACCATAAGGAGCCACTCACCAGATGAAAAAAAAATAGCTTCACAGCAGCAAGCAGAATTGCTTTCAGCAGAACAGGGTTGTCTCAGCACGTAACTGGCACTCCAGGAGTCAGAAAAGAGTGAAGAAGCTATTAAATTGATTTCTTTTTCAGCCTTTGCAGGGAGCTTTCATCCTATGATGAAGGCATTGTTAGATCTTTAAGATGTGCATGTGTATTTTACCTCTTTTCTGAAGGCCTATTAGTTTCCATCTAGAGGCCATCCCTGTTTGAAGAGCACACAGAGATCCTGTTGAAACCAAGAAAAGTTCTGTTTTTCTTTTATTTTCTTGGTGGAGTGGAGAAGGAGGGATTTGTAATCAAATCCTGCTCGTACAGGCCAGGCTGGTGGTTTGCAGGGCACCAGTTGCAGCTCACTCTCCCAGGCCCTGCATTTGAGACAGTTCCTACAATCCCAGCCTCAGTCAGAAGACCAGACATGCTCCTGTGTGTGTCCCACCCAACTGCATCCAACTGGGTTGCACCAGTTTTACAGCAAGGGTGGGAAATCCCTGCCCAGCTTGTGTGTACACTTAGTGTTTGGGCTGCTGTCCCCCTGCTGCAACATGTCATAGCACTGTCCTGGTGAAGGAGAGGCTGGGTCATCAATGCATGTCCATGGGAAGGAAGGTGGGCTTCTCACTGAGACATCTGGACTTAGCCACTTCTTTTTCTTCCTTGTGAAATGTAGTTCATTGAAAGGAAACATCTGGAGAAGAGAAGGCTCTGGGGAGACCTTGGAGCACTTTCCAGTACCTGAAAGGGCTCCAGGAAAGCTGAAAGCTGGCAAGTGACTTTTTACAAGGGCATGCAGTGATGGGACAAGGGGGAGGGTTTTAAAACTGGAACAGGGGAGATTTAGATGAAATATTAAGAAGACTTTCTTTCCTGTGAGGGTGGTGAGACCCTGGCCCAGGTTGCCCAGGGAAGCTGTGGCTGCCCCATCCCTGGCAGTGTTGAAGGGCAGGTTAGATGGGGCTTGGAGCAGCCTGGGCTGGTGGGAGGTGTCCCTGCCCATGTAGGCGGTTGGGACTAGATGATATTTAAGGTCCCTTCCAACCCAAACCATTCTGTGATGCTCTGACCTTTAACTTGGTGGGTTTAAGGTTGGTTTTGATTGCTTATTTGCTTGCCCTAAGCATCTGTGATTCACTTCCAACTGGTTTGTTGGAGCCAAGAAGGAGAGTTGCAGGTCTGGATATCCAGTTCCTTGCTCATTTCTGAGAAGGCAGTTGTTCCATGCCACAACCCTCCCAGAGCTATACCTGTTATTGTCTGAGCTTGATGGTCCCAAAGTATTTCTCCATGTGCAGGACTGAGAACAGTGCAGAGGGCTCTAAGTCACTAAGGGACATGAGGGACCCTGCTACAATTGCTACAGAGGGTAGATGTGCAGTCAGGAGTTTTCAGTGAGCTTGCTCAGAGGCTGTCAGAGTGCAGCCATGGCTACCCAGCCTGCAAAGCCTAAGAGGACAGGTAGATACTGTGAGGACAGTCATTATGAGCTCCCTGGTCCTGGAATTAAAGTGCTGATGAGACCCTAGGCTGGCCAAGTGCAAGCCCTTTCTTGGCTGTTACACAGAAACAATATTAGCAGTTAGAATCCAAGACTGACATGCCCTGAGATCATCAAAGTCCTGTCTTAGCAGCTCTCTAATGCCCAAAATGCAGAGAAACCAAGAGGATGCTTAAAATTCCCCCTTGTTGCTTGTACTGAAGCTCTTGTGTTCTGACACCCCAGGAACAAGGGCCCTGGTGAGGCTGCCAGAGGCAAAGACCCTCTTTGTGTTTGGTGTTGGTGCTGCTCTGGTGAGTGCTTTCAGACTTGGAGTGGGGCTCACACAGAAGTCCCACCAGTACCACCAGTTTTTCTTCTGTGCCTGGCTCAAAAAAGCAAGGATTTGACCAAGTATCTGCATTTTCACCAGGTGAATGGCTAGCTGCAGGGAAGCCTGCAAGAAGCAGAAGAAAGCTCTCTCTCAGCTTCCAAGTTGTCCCACTTGGTGTCAAGTGCTTCCTCTCACTGGCTCAGAGTTTGAAAGTCTGGGAAAGATTTGAATCATCAAGCTGCAAATCCATTCACCCTCTTTGCCTGTCATGGTAGCTATTTGTGCCCAACAAACCCCGTGGGCTGCAGCAGAGCTCTGCCCTGGCTTGTTGTGAGTTCTCTAAGGTGTGAACTCGAATCCCAGGTCCCAGACAAGCAGAGGAGGAGTTTGAGCACAAAGCTGCTGAGCAGAAGGGACTCCCCATTGCCAGCAACCCCCTTTGTGAGATGTGAGGGGACCCCCTCCCATCTGCTTTGGGCAGCCTTGCTGGGGCAGAAGGTCCATCTCGGTGAGCCACGAGACACATGGTGTGTTTTCTCTCTGTTCTTTACCTTCCTTTTCCTCTCCCTCTGCTTGAAACTCCATTCACAGGAGTGCTTTGTAGTTAGAGCTTCTCTTCCATTCCAGCCCTGCACCAACCTGTGCCAGCACCAACCACATGCCAAAGGCAGTGAGACTTAACTTGCCTTTTAGAGGCACGACAGGGAGAAATTCAGCTGATTATTCACACATGCCACAGGGCATTCTGCAGCCAGGAGCTCCTTCAAAAAAATGTTGGCTGCATTAACATGCCAGGAACGGGGCCCCCAGGAATCCTACTTGCAATTATTTCATCATCCAACCTCCAGCCACGTCGTCATGACGCTGTCAGGGGTGTTTGAGAGATGAAATGAATGTGCTGAATACACCTGCTGTGACAGGCACAGCACTTGGTGATGCAGCTTGGCTGGGCTGGCCCCATAGTCCAGGAGAACAGAGGAGTCAGCAGTGAAATCAGAGCTTTTCACCCTGGGGATGAGAGCAATCAAGTGAACGATGACGTTTGGATCAGACCCCCACTTAAGTGGCTTCATGAAGGAATTTGGCCCCATGACTTGATCTCTTCTATGCTGTTTTTCATTCAACTCATCAATAAAATGAAGTTCAAGGACCCCAAACAGCATAGCTGGATGTGACAGGCTTTTAGATATGTTTTAGAATAATGAACTTGTATACCAAAACTCCTTATGGCCAAATTCTGATCCCACTTGCACCATCAGTTCACTGCAGTGACTCCTGAATGACACCAGTGAGAAACTGGAGCTTGTCTTTAGAATAGCTCCAGTATCTTCATCCTGGAATTGTTTGCTCCCTTTTTATACCACTGAGAGCTCAACCCCCTCCTGTTAATTAGTCACACTATATTTCAGTTATCAAACTAATAAAAAATAAGTATGGAACAATTAAAATATAACCATTAAATTCTTGTCAAAAGGTCTGCAAGGTTCAATGCTAAGATGAGACTGTGGGTATTTCTATTCAGCAGGGACTTAGATTGCTCTGTGACCCTCTCACAGGCAGCAAGAAATGAGAACATGAACAGGTTTAGGGTTTTAAAAAGAGCAGTAAAGAAATTGAAAGCTGGTGTGGAATTTCAGGGCATTAGTTTTTTTTAAAATAAAAGTTCTCTATAGAGCAGCATCATTGCTGCAGTTATGGAAGGAAAAAAGGATTCCAAGAAGGACAAAACACCTGCATAAATTTTTTTATGTTGTTTTGTTTTGCCTAGGAAGCAGTTTGATTTTTCTCAAGAAAAGTGTTACTGGAGAAAACATGTTTTGTACATGAACTAATCAGACTTCTTTCTCAGGATCCCACTTTGTTCCCACTCCCCTTGGGAAGCAGTGAGGAAGGGAAGTGTCTGTGACACAGGCCCATGGCAGCAAAGGCATTAAAACCAAATCTCTGCTCCAATCTGATGGAAACACTTGCAGGGAGAAAGATGCACCTGCTGAGTAACAAAAGGCTGCCTGGTGGTTTGTAAAAAGAGAAATGCAGTTCCAAAGAGAGCTCAGGAGTGGGTATCACTTGGCTTCATGGCAGGGATTGAAGGATTTTGGTGGGATTATTTTGTCTCCTTTCCTTCTGCCTTCACCTCAGTGTTGAAACGAGGCAAAACCCAGGGGGTTCCTGCAGGAATTATGAAATATTTTCAGACTAAAAGGGAATCTTGAAAACACCAAGCTGTGTCTTTGTGAAGCTCATTTTATTCTGTCCACACAAGTTCAATTTGGTTCGACAAGTGGCCTGTGGAAATCCATGTGGTAGGAGAACATGGAGACTGAGAAGCAAGGGCTCTTCTCTGGACAGTGACTCTAGATTTAACACCAAAGCCCACCTAAAACATCCTTCCTCCTTGCTATGGCCCAGCCTCTCTGCTTTCACGTAGGACATTGAGCTGAAGAAAGGATCTTGACTGGGGT